CATTAGCACACTGCCTCATCACTGGATCATTAACGCTGTAGCTCTGCTCTGGATTGTTAATGCCATACCTCTGCACTGGATCATTAACACTGTACCTCTGCACTGGATTGTTAACACTGTTGCTCTGCGCTGGACCATTAACACTGTACCTCTGCACTACATCACTAATACTGTACATAGGAATCTAGGAGCAAAAGGAGACAATTCAACCCCTCGAACTTGCTCCACCCTTGATCTCATCTCGGCCTCAACACTTTCCTGCCTGCTCTCTACAACCGTTCAACCCATTACTAATTAAAAATCTGTCTGTCTCCTCCTGAAATTTACTCAATATCCACCGCACTCTGGGTCAGTGAATTCCACAGATTAATGACCCTTTGAGAGAAGTAATTTCTCCTCAACGCTGTTTTAAATCCTAAAACACTGACCTCTTATTCTAGATTCTCCCACATGGAGAAACATCCTTTCTACATCTACTTTTGTCAATTTCCTTTAGCATCAATTGTACCTCAATTAGATCTCTCATTCTTCTAAACTCCAGAGAGTATAGGCCTAAACTGTTCAAATCTCTCATCATAAGACAAACTCCCCACCTGTGGAACCAATCTTGTGAATTTCCTCTGAACTGCCTCCAATACAACTACATCCCTGCTTCAGTAAGGGACCCAAAGCTGTACCAGTGAACTCTATCATTAACACAGTACCTCTGCACTGTACCATTATATTTAATTCTGCGTTTTACTAAACATACAAGATTCTTCAGGGCACTTGACATTGGTAGATGTGGAAAGGTTGCTTCACCTTTGCATAAGACTCTTGGACCAGAGGGTATCATCTCAGAATAAGAGGTCATAGATTTAAGACAGAAACCCTCTCAGAGGGTAGTGAATCTGTGGAAGTCCTTACTCCTGAGTGCTGTTGAGGCTGGGTCATTAAGTATATTCAAGTGTATTTTAATCAGTGAGGGAATCAAGGGTTATGGGGAAAAGCAGAAAAGTGGAGTTGGGGATTATCAGATTGGCCATGATCTCATTGACTGATGAAGGAAATTCAAAGGGCTGCATGGCCAGCTTCTGCTCCTATATTCTGCGCCATTTCATTAACACCGTAACTACTCTGTATCATTACACTGTACCTCTGCACCATATCATTAACACCGTAACTACACTGTATCATTGCACTGTACCTCTGCACCATATCAATAACAATGCAACTGCACTGTGCCATTGCACGGTATCCCTACACCATACCACCGTACTTTACCTCTTCACTCTATCTCTACACCATGATTCCACAGTTTAGTTTTGGATGTGCCACCCACATATTGTTGGTTACTCCCCATAACAATTGTGTGCTGCACGTTCAGGAGCTGACTTGAAACCACAAGTACTGTTTGATGCCAGCCAGCAGTAATGTGTTCCTTTTCACTCATACTCCTTTATGGGGCATCACAAAATTCTTACGGTACAGAAGGAGGCCATTTGGTACATCATGCCTGATGGCTTTATTCCCTAGTGCCAACCTCCTGCCTTTTCTCTATATCCCTGTGCACCATTTCTATCCAAATAATTGTCCATTACCCTATTGAATGCCTTAGCTGAACCTGTCTTCATTTCCGGGCAGTGGATTCCATACCCTAACCACTCGCTGCATGAAAACATGTTTTTCTTCTTATTTTACTCTTGCTTCATTTGTACGTCATTTTAAATCAATGCCCTCTCATTCTTTTTCTTTTTACGAACAGGAACAACTTCTCCCTATCTGCTCTACCCAGCCTGCTCATAATTTTGTAAAGCTCTATTAAATCTCTTTACAACCTTCCTCTCTGCAAGGAGAACAGTTCCAATGTCTTTAATCTATTCTCATGACTGAAGTTTCTCCTTCCTGGAACCATTCTTGTAAATCACTTCTGCACCCTTTCTCCAATGCGTTCACATCTATCCTGTAATTTGGCAGCCACAGCTGTACGCAATACTCCAGCTGAGGTCTAACAGGAATGGGAGCTGACACTGAGACTCATCCAGGGCCAATGAATTGTTCCCTTTTGTGTGCACACCTATATGAAGTGACATTAAGCCACACACAATCAAAATCTCGGTGGGACTGTGATTAAAACTCCGACTTTTTTTTGCCATGATGTTGTTACTAAACAGGACACCGTGAATTTGTAAATCAAACCGTTTCTGCTGTATATGGGGAGAACCTCCAGCTGCCCTGTTCTGTACCCCATGGAAAGAGTGAACCAATAAGACGATGGCTTCTGGTAAGTGTCTTTCTGCGTGATTCTCGCTGTTCAATGGCCGTGTTTGGTGGCTAATACAATGTGTCTCTTGCTTTACCTTAAGTAAATAATACACCCCCATTTGTGAATCAGATGATTGTGGGTTTGAGCCCCATTCCCGGGACTTGAGCCCAGAATCACAGCTCTCACTTTCTGTGTCGTGCTGTTGGAGTGCTGCAAAGAGTTGTCTTTCAGATGAGATATCAAACCGAGGCTTTCTCCACCTTCATAGACCGATGTAGAAGATCGCACGGCGTTATTCAAAAGTGATCAGGGAAATTCTCCTCCACGTGCTGGCTAATATTTGCCCTTTAAACTGTGAATGACGGGGCAGCATATTTAATCACGGCCTCAGCGTGTGGGATCTTGCGGTGCCAAAAAGTAATTGTACGTTGTGGCTGTGGCTCTGCAGGAGTTCCTCAGGGTAGTGTCCTAGGCCCAGCCACCAACAGCTGCTTCATCAATGACCCCTCCCCCCCATCATAAGGTCAGAAGAGGGGATGTTCGCCAACGACTGCACAATGTTCAGCACCATTCGTAACTCCTCAGATACTGAAGCAGCCATATGCAGCAAGACCCAAATTATATCAGAGATAGTAGGAACTGCAGAAGCTGGAGAATCCGAGACAACAAGGTGCAGAGCTGGATGAACACAGCAGGCCAAGCAGCATCATAGGAGCAGAAAGGCTGACGTTCGTGATGGGTCCAGACCCAAATTATATCCAGGTTTTGGTTGACAAGTGTCATGGAACAGTCACACAACAATGACCATCTCCAACAAGAGTCAATCTAACCATTATTTATTGACATTCAATAGCATTGCAATCAATGAAGCCCTCACTACTAATATTCTGGGGTTACCATTGACCAGAACCTCAAATGGACAAGCTGCACAAATACTATGGCTACAAGAGCAGATCAGAGGCTAGGAATACTACAATAAGTAACTCCCCAAAGCTTGTCCACCATCTATAAGATACAAGTCGGGAGGGTGATGAAATGCTACCCATTTGCCTGCATGGGTGCAGCTCCAAAAAACACTCAAGAATCTTGACACCATTCAGGACAAAGCAGCCCGCTTGATTGGCATCACATCCACAAGTATCCACTCCCTCCACCACCAACGCTCAGTAGCTGCAATGTGCGCTATTGACAAAATGCATTGTAGAAATTTGCCAATTCTGTTTCGACAGAAACATTCAATTCCATGACCTCTTCCAACTAGAAGGACAAGGGCAGCAGGTATGTGGCAACATTACTACCTGCAAGTATCCATGAAGCATCTCACCATCCTGATTTAGAAAGTCATCACTGTCCCTTCACTGTCAATGGGCCAAAATCTTGGTACTCCCTTCCTGAATGTCCCTTCAGCATATGGACAGCAGTGGTTGAAGAAGGTAGCTCACTATCACCTTGGGAAACGCAATAAATGCCTACATCCTATGAATGTGCTTTTTAAAACATTTTTAGAAGTACTGAGTTAATTGTAAGGTTTTTAGCATTGGCTAAGCAATAGCCTAGTGGTATTATCATTGGGCTATTACTCCAGAAACTCAGCTAATGTTCTGGGGGCCTGGGTTGGAATCCCACCACATCAGATGGTGGAATTGGAATTCAATAAAACAAAATCTGGAATTAAGAGTCTAATGATGGTCATGAAATCATTGTCAATTGATGGAAAACCCCATCTGGTGTCCTTTGGGGAAAGAGATCTGGCATCCTCACTTGGATGGCTTACAAATGACCCACAGCAATGTGGTTGACTCTCAGCTGCCCTCTGAAAAGGCCTGGCAAGCCACTCAGTTGTACCAATTGCCACAAAATCTCAACAAGATGCTTTGGGATGCCCCAACTTTGTAAAGGTGTTATCTTTTTCTCTCTGTTTGCAAGTCTTTCACAGAGAACCTGGTTGCAAATACTGACTGTAAAATCAGAAGAATTCCTGGGGACTTTGCAATGAGCTGCCCGCTCCTTGTTTCTGTCATCTTTTAATGCCACTGGGGTGCTGCCTATGCATTTGGCAGTGGGGACCTCTTCTCCTTTAAAAATGCGGCTCGTAGGCACTTGAGAGGCAGTGGGAATGTCCCTACCTCAGGGCCGTGAGGTTCAGGTTCAAATCCCACCCATCCTAGAAATGTGCAAATGGGTAAATTAAAAATAATATAAATTACCTCTTTGACCTGGCCTAATATCTCCTTACGTGGCTCCGAGTCAAGATTTAGCAATGACCACTCCTGTGTTAAGGCCCTGTAGAAGACCTTGCTATGTTAAGGGTGATATATCAATGCAAGTTGTGGTTGGTGTGCTGCTGCATAGCGATCCCTCGATACTCAAGGAAAGCTGCCATTTCAATGGTAGGATTGCCAGCGAGCGACCTTAACGGCTCCTTGTTTGCATCTACTCCCCAGAAAACTTGCTTCATGAAGCCGTGGAAGCAGATCGCTGGGGTCAAAGGAGCTGAGGTGCAGAGCGATGAGAGTCACTTTCAGATGCTGGGGAATGGGACACTGCTGATCTGGTCAGTGGGCATGGAGGATCAGGGACTGTTCAAATGCGGAGTGGCAGAGGAAGGATTGGAGATCTTCACCGTGACCAATGTCTCAGTCTTCAGTGAGTACTACTTTTGCTTGTTATGAGGGAAAGCAGCTTTTGAGATGTTATATTTTGATAAGGCAAATCAGGACAGGACTTACACAGTTAGGCCCTGGGGAGTGTTGCTGAACAAAGAGATCTAGGGGTGCAAGTGCACAGTTCTTGAAGGTGAAGTTACAGGTAGACAGGGTAGTGAAAAAGGTATTTGGTATGCTTGCCTTCATTGGTCAGAACATTGAGTATAGGTGTTGGGAGGTCATGTTGCAGCTCTACATTGGTGAAATGACTTTTAGAATTCTGCCCACAATTTTGGGCTCCCTGCTATAAAAAGGATGTTGCTAAACTTGACAGGGTGCAGAAAAAGATTTACAAGTATGTTGCCAGGACTGGAAAGTTTGAGCCATAGGGAAGAGGCTGAATAGACTGGCGTTATTTTCCCTGGGGCATCGGAGGCCAAAGTTTGACCTTATGGAGGTTTATAAAATTGTGAGGGGCATGGATAGGGTGAATAGCCAAGACCTTTTTCCTAAGGTAGGGCAGTCCAAAACTAGAGGGCATAGGTTTGAGGTGAGAGGGGAAAGATTTAAAAAGGATGTTTTTCACACAGGGTGGGATGTATGTATGGAATGAGCTGCCAAATGAAGTGGAGGAGGCTGATATGATTACACCATTTAAAAGGCATCTGTATGGATACATTAATAGGAAGGGTTTAGAGGAATATGGGCCAAATGCTGGTAAATGGGATTATGTCATATTGGGATATCTGATCAGTCCAGACGAGTTGGACTGAAAGGTCTGTTTCTGTGCTGTATGACTCTATGACTCCATTACACTGATTCATTGAACACCTTTAATAACTTTACACTTCTCTGCCAATCTTTAAGTGCTTCTCCCATACGCAGGGAGATTAATTTCAAACCTCCAAAATCTGGTCCATTGAAAATGTTAAAGTTGAGACCAATTTTGTTTTTGTCAAAAAAAAAACACTTTTGTCAATGAGTTATTCTTGAAGGAAAAAGGGCAGTGCATAGTTTGTTTCATAATCTGTTGCTCTGATTCATGTTTGTGCCTGAAGTCTTAGCAGACACCGTTGCTCAGAAGTTGTAATCTTGAGATGGTCATTCAATTGCTTTTTCCAAAGAACAAATAGGCTTTCTTGAACTGAGCAATAGGGGACTCTTTTCAGAAATAGGAAATACCCATTGGACAACATGTTTGTAGAGGGCTTGCCTTCATCTCAGTCAAATCTTAACGGGCTTCCCATCAACTGAATGAGAAAAAAAACAATAATTTCTCCAAGCCAGTTGCTCCTTAAAGCAGCTGCCCTTCAAAACCAGCCCCAGGAAGAGCCTATAGCAAAGTAAGCAGCTAACACCAATCATGTGACTTCCAGGCAGCCTTGTTAAAAGCAAAATCTCTAATATACACAGTGAACATTCAGGTACAAATCACCAGCATATCAAAAAAACTTGAACTAAACTTTTTGTTTCTAACATCGTCCAAAATGTAAGTCCTCCAAGGAATATTGAATGTAAAGCATCCTCACAAAAACATTGCCCACCAATATGGCTTTGAACAATGATATACCAGTTCACACGTTTCACAGTGAATTCCTTCTGCAACATACTTGACCATTCTACTGACTTATCATAAACCCTTTGTGAGTTCCTTTGGTCCTCAGAAGGAGTTTCTACAATGGATACAGAGAGGAATGGACCAAAGCCTTAGTTAAAGTGATTAATCAATAAATAGATTGATGGAGGATCAAAAAGACAAAAGGATGGAGGGACACATAGGGTTAAACAGAATGTTTTATCAATAATTGATAAATTGGTGGATAGATTGATTGATTGAAGTCCAAATGGACTGAGAAAGAGAGAAATACAGGAAGAGAGCATTAAATAGACTTTGGATAGACAGACATAGGATATTAGAATGATCGATCAATGGATATAGAGATAGAAAGAACATCTGCAATTGGTTTTCTACTAACCATAAGATGTTTGTGAGTTGTACAAGTGTTATGATTAACTATGACAAACTTTGATCTGACAAAGGTTAACAGAACTATGTTAATTTGCAGAACCGCCTGCCAAACCTCAGCTGATGAAAAGCTACTTGAGCTTTACTGTAGGAGGAGATTTCGAGGTAATAATGTTTTATTAATTAATGCAATAATTAATCCTACCATGGCAGATCATGGAATTTGAATTCAATAGAAATATGGAGTTAGGAGTCTAATGATAATCATGAAATCATTATCAATTGTTGAGAGACACCCATCTGGTTCCTTTAGAGCAGCGAGCTTCTATCTTTATCCGGTCTGGGTTGCTTGTGACTCCAGACCCACAGCAATATCGTTGACTCTTAACTGAGTAAACCACTCAAGTTGTATCAAGCAACTCAAGTCTCAAAAGAATTAAACTGCACGGATTATTGGCATTAACGAAGCGAGCAGAAATGGTATACAGTTAGGAGAGAGCTGCCCTGGGAGTCCTCGATATTGACCCTAGACCCCATGAAGCCTCAAGGCCAAATGAGCAAGGTAACATTCTGGAGATTGCCACATACCCTTCTTCTCACTGAGGATACCCTCTATTGTGTTGTTCAGCCATTCACCGTGCTAAATGAGATGGACATCAAACAGATCTAGCAACTCAAGACTGAGCCACCAGACAGCGATGTGGCATTTGACATCAATAGCAGCAGGATTGTACTCCAACACAATCTATAAACTCATGGCCCAGTACATACCCACTGAAGAATTACTATCAAGCCAGAAGATCAATGCTGGTTCAATGGAGAGTGCAGAAGAACATGCCAGGAGCAGCACCAAGCATATCTAATAATAAGGTGTCGATCCTGGCACAAAGGAAGGTGGTTTTTGTTGCTGGAGTCAGCATCAGGACATCACTGCAGGCATTCGTCAGGGTAGTGTCCCTGGCCCAGCCATCTTGCCCAAAGACCAATGACCTTCCCTCCAACATAAAAGTCAGAAGTGGGATGTTCACCGATGATTGCACACTGTTCAGCACCATTTGCAACTCCTGAAGTACTGAAGCAATCATGTCCAAAAAAAGGAAAACTTGGACAACATCCAGGTTTGGGCTGATATATGGCAAGTAATACATATGCCAAAGCAGCAAAGTTAGACAATCTAACAGAGCTAAAGGCAGAAAAGTCCCTCAGCCCTGATGGCTTGCATCTTAGGATCTGAAAAGAGGTAGCTACAGAGATAGTGGATGAATTGGTTGTAATTTTCCAAAATTGTTGGATTTTGGAAAAGTACTCAAGGATTGGAAAACTAAGAATATGACACCCCCTAATCAAAAAAGGAGGGAGGAAAACAGTGGGTAACTGTAGACTATTAGCCAACATCTATTGCTGAAAAGATATTGGAATCATTTAAGAATGTAATAGCAGAACATTTAGAAAATCATAATCTAGTCAAGCAGGGTCAGCATGGCTTCATGAAAGGGAAATTGTATCTGACCAGTTTATTAGAGTTTTTTGAGGAAGTCTCAACCAGAGTGGATAAAGGGGAACCAGTAGATGTGCTGTATATAGACTTCCAGAAGGCATTTGACAAGGTACCTCACAAAAGGTTAAGCCATAAGATAAGAGCCCATGGTGTAAGGCATAGTTTATTGGCATGGATAGAGAATTGGCTAATGGCCAGGAAACAGTCAGTGCAGATAAGCGATTCTTTTTCAGGTTGGTGACCCATGACCAGTGGAGTTTCACAGGGATCAATGCTAGGATTACAACTATTTATATTATATATTAATGACTTGGAGGAAGGATGTGAATGTGCTATTGCCAAATTTGTAGATGACACTAAAATAGGTGGCAACGCAGGTTGTAAGAGGGATGCAAATAGTTTATAGAGAGATATTAAATAAAAATGAGGAAGGGTTATTGGACCTGAAATGTTAACTCTGATCTTTTCTTCACAGATGCTGCCAGACCTGCTGAGCTTTTCCAGCAACTTCTGTTTTTGTACAGAGAAATATTGCTAGGTTAAGTAAGTGGGAAAAGTTGGCAAATGGAGCATAATGTGGGAGAATGTGAAGTTCTTCATTTTGGAAGGGAGAACAAAAGAATAGAATGTTATTTAAATGCAGAAAATCTGCAGAAAGCTAGCACACAGTGGCAGCAGATAATCAGGAAGGCTCATGGAATGCTAACCCTAATTTCAAGGGGTTTTCAGTATAAGAGTAGGGAAGTCTCACTGCAATTGTACAAAGTGCTGATGAGACCACATCTGGAGTACTGTGAGGAGTTTTGGTCCCCTTATTTAAGGAAAGATACCATTTCATTGGAGGCAGTTCAGAGAAGGTTCACCAGGATGATCTGCAGCAAGGAAGGATTATCTTATGAGCAAAGGCTAAAATGGTTGGGACTCTACTCACTGGAATTTAGAAGAATGAGAGGTGATCTCATTGAAACATACAGGATTCTTAAGGGGCTTGACAGGGTAAATGCTGAGAGGATGTTTCCCCTCCTGGCAGAGTCTAGGACCAAAGGGCATAGTCTCGGACCATAGGGCATAGTCTCAGAATAAAGGAGCATCAATTTAAGACTGAGCCAAGGAGGAATTTTCTCTCTCAGAGGGCTGTGAATCTTTGGAACTCCTTGCCACAGAGAGAGCTTTGGCAGGGGTAGAGTCCTTGTGTATGTTTAAGGCTGAGATAGACTCGGGTAGTCAAGTGCTATAGGGCAAGGGTAGGAAAGTGGATGTGAGGAATTTTGGATCAGCCATGATCCTTTGAATGGCAGATCAGGTTCGAGGGGCTGAATGGCCTGCTCCTGTTCCTATTTCTTCTGGTCTTAAGGACACACGAGTGCCAAGCAATGACTATCTCCAACAAGACTGAATCTAACCATCGCTCCTTGACAATCAATGGCATCACTATCACTGCCCCACTAACAATCGGGGTTACCATTAACCAGAAACTGGACCAGTGATATAAATACTAAAGGTACAAGAACAGGTCAGAAGCTTGGAATCCAGCAGTAGGTAACTTATTTCCTGACTCCCCAATGCCTGTCCATCATCTACAAGGCATAAGTCAAGAATGTGATGGAATACTCCCCACTTGCCCTGGATGGGTGCAGCTCCAACAACACTCAAGAATCTTGACACCATCCAGGACAAAGCAGCCTGCTTGATCGGGACTACATCCACATATATTCACTCCCTCCACCAATGACATACAGCAGCAGTGAATACCATTTGCAACAAATTCTCCAAGGCTCCTTAGGCACCTTCTAAACCCACGACCAATTCCACCTAGAAGGACAAGGGTAGCAGATACATGGGAACACCACCACCAGCAAATTCCCTTCCAAGCCACTCACCATCCTGAGGTCATAGAACATAGAATAGAATCCCTACAGTGTAGGAACAGGCCCTTTGGCCCAACAAGTCCACACTGACCCTCAGAGTATCCCACCCAGACCCATCTCCCTATAACCCACCGAGCCTGCACATCCCTGAACACTATGGGCAATTTAGCCTGGCCAATCCACCTAGCCTGCACATCTTTGGACTGTGGGAGGAAACCCACGCAGACACAGGGAGAATGTGCAAACTCCACACAGACAGTCACCTGAGGGTGGAATTGAACCCAGGTCCCTGGTGCTGTGAGGCAGCAGTGATAACCACTGTCAATATTCTGCCAATCCTTCACTGTCACTGGTTCGAAATCCTGGAACTGCACGATCAATGCAGTGAAAGATGCTCCCTGGCCTGCCGGAAACTTGTTGGTCTTCCAGAGTGAGGAGTTGACCCCAACTGCGTGTTGCAGACTGGCACATTCCAAGGTCCAGGACAATGTGCTGAGGGAAGCACTAAAGCTTGGGGCAGCTGCTGCCAAGGGGCAGTTGGGAAAGACCACCATCTAAGGTCTTCCTGTTGAAGTTACTTGAGGGTCCGTTCAGCTATCAAGCCCTCCTTGTGCCACAATGCATATAAATATAGTCTTGTATGTGTAAGAGAGGTCTTTAGTTTGTTGGGATAGATGCAAACTCAAATGTTTGTTTGTTTACTTGATATACAGAACCAAACTGCATTTGTTACAATGTGTATATACAAAGAGATTTTTTATGGATAAAGTATATTTTTGTAATTGAAAACCACAAACTGCAGTGATACAAGAAGCTCATCACCATATTCGTAAGGGAACATAGGGATGAGCCATAAATGTTGATTGATCAGTCAATGGATTTGCACCCTTCGCAAGTTGAATAAAAGCTCCTCAATCCACTTGGCTGACCTTCCTCACCTTGATAAGCCCAAACTGATGCTAAATAATAAATTTTTCCTCTGCCTGCCTTCAATTTTACATCTCTTTTTCCGCAGATTGGGAAGTGTATCGTAAAGGATGGCTATCCTGTCGGTAACGTTACCTGGTATAAAAATGGCAAAGTGATACCTGCCAATGGAAATGGTGAGAAACCTATTGATCCAATGCTGCCTTTCCTTTTCAGATCTCTCCTTCGTCTCATCCCTCTGTCTCTCCACTATCTCCTCCCACCTCACCCAAACCTCCCTGCTATCTGTGCTCCTGCGGGTTGGGCCTCTTTGGCATTCCCAATTTAAGTAGAAATGGGCAATAGGCGCTGGCCTAGCCAGCATGCACACGTCCTGTGTGGATTTGCAATCTCAGGCACCACAAGCTTGGGGCAACAACTTCCACCGATGTCCAAGAGCCGTTTGGAACCAGCTCCTGCAGGAAGAGAGCAGGGAACACTGCAGAGAGAGCGGGCCCTGAATCAGCTCACACTTCCATCGTCAATTTTCCGGTACATTCCAGACAGAGTGATGACGATGGAGCAATGGAAGAAGGCCCAACGAGGCTACAGTTGCCACGGTGGTGAAATGGGTTTTAATTCTTCCGGTAATTTTCTCCCTGCTGCAGTGCAAGAGCAGGCCTGTTATCTGGGGAGGTCCTGTGTTGTATATACTTCACAGCCTCGAAAGTGGAATTCTGCAGAGACTCACTGTGGGAGTGTTCCGCAAAAACACACATGTTATTTTCTCATCTAGGCTTTGTCCCGGCTTCCTAAATGTTTACAGATAATTGCATTTGATTAACAGTTCCAGTCAGGAGACTGTCATATTGCCCAATTCTGCTCGACTGGGCTGAAGGAATGCACCTTGATATTGTGAGTCCTGGGCTGGAACAACAACAAACTCACAGCTTATACATAGTAAAATGCTCCAAGAGTAGAAACTTATATAGTGCCTTTCGTGACTGCAGGATCTACTCCCAAAGCACTCTGCTGCCTACAGAACACTGATTGAAGTGTTGCCATAATGTGGGACCGACGATTTCTGCACAGCAAGCTCCCACATACAGCAGTCAGCAGATGGTCTATCCTGCACGAGATTGTAATCAAGAAATGTTTGACAAAGGTTTTTTAAAAAAATGTGAAAAGCTAAGGGTTTCCGGGAAAACCCAGCAGGTCAGGCAGCATCTTTGGGTAGGGGAACAAAGTTAACGGAAGGAGGGATGCAGCGGTGGTAGAAATGGGCTGGTAAACCAGAATCTGTGCTTCATGTTCTGGGATCTGTGGGTTCAAATCACACCATAGCAGATGGTGGAATTTGAATTCAATTATTAAGGTGGCAAATTTACATGTAGAACGTGTAAAGATTGTCAAATGGTTGTACAACCTATCTGGTTCACCAATCTCCTTCAGAGAAGGGAATCTGCTGTCCTTATCTCCTCTGGGCCACATGTGACTCCACACCCACTGAGATGTGGTAAATATAGATAGATTGCAGATTTGGGCAGGTAAATGGCAGATAGAGTTTAATCCAGACAAATGCGAGGTGATGTATTTTGGCAGATCAAATTCAGATGTGAATTATGCAATAAATGCCAGAAGACTTAGGAGCATTGACACACAGAGGGATCTGGGCATACAGGTCCACTAATCCCTGAAAGTGGCAACACAGGTGGATAATGTGGTCAAGAAGGCATACAGCATGCTTGCCCTCATCAGCCAGGGCATCAAACCTAAAAGTTGGCAAGTCATGTTGTAGCTGTACAAAACTGTAGTTAGGCCACATTTGGAATATTGCGTCCAGTTCTGGTTGCCACGCTACCAGAAGGATGTGGACATGGTTTACTGGGATGTTGCCTTGTCCGGAGGGTGTTAGTTATGAGAAGATGTCGGATAAACTTGGATTGTTTTCACTGGAAAGACGAAGGCTGAGGAGCGACCTGATAGAGGTCTACAAAACTATGAGAGGCATCAATAGGGTGGATAGGCAAAAGCTTTTTCCCAGGGTGGACAGGTCAACTACAAGAGGGCACAGGTTCAAGGTGAGAGGGGGCAAGTTTCAGGGAGAAGTGTGGAGAAAATGTTTCACCCAGAGGACGGTGGGTACTGGAACGCATTGCCAGTGGAGGTGTGGAAGCAGGCACATTAGCAATGTTTAAGGCATATCTTGATTGACACACAAGTGGGGGGTGAACAGAGGGATAGAAACCACACATGGGCATTAAGTAGCGGGGCTAAATTAAGGATTAGAAATCGGTATAGGCTTGGTGGGCTGAAGGGCCAGTTCCTGTGCTGTATGGTGTTGCATTGTGCAGGAATTAGAGGGATCGTTGCCCACAGAGGCCATTTCAGAGTCTAGAGTCAACGATTGAGGAGCTGGAAAAGCACAGCAGGTCAGACGGCATCCGAGGAGCAGAAAAGTCAACGTTTCGGCGGAAGCCCTTCATCACGCATGGGGAGGGGCGGGGGAGCTTGGAAATAAATAAAGGGAGGGGTTGGGGCTGAGGGGAAGAGTAGGAGAAATGGTGATAGATTGTGATTGGTCAGTAGGAAGGGTGGAGCAGATAGGTGAGTAGGAAGATGGACAGGTTAGGTCAGATCAGGGAGGTGAGGAGGAGGGGGAGGGCAGGACATTGGATAAGGCTGGGGGTGGAGGGATTTTGAAAGTGGTGAAGTCAATGTTGAGGCCATTGGGCTGTAATCTTCCAAAGTGAAATATCACGTGTTGTTCCTCCAGTTTACATTTGGCCTCACTCTGACAGTGGAGGAGGCCAAGGATGGACATGTCACCAGGGGAGTGAAAGGGGGAATTGAAATGGATGGCAACCGGAAGGTCAGGTTGGTTGATGTGTGCAGAGCGCAGATGCTCTGCGAGCCGGTCCCCGAGTCTGCATTTGGTCTCCCGATATAGTCCTTACTGTCTACATTTCAGAGTCTAGTTAAAAATCAACCAGATCGAGGTAGCACTGCAGTCACATGACTGGTACATGTTTACAGAAAGAGGCCATTCAGCCCACCAGGCATGTAGCAGCTTATTGAAAGAGCCTTCAATGGGTCCCACATTCTGACTACAGGGGAGGAGCAAAACCAGATGTGATTTTTTTTTACAACAACAATCTGATGGCATGCTGGCGACTGATAACGATCTCAGATCTTTGAGTCCAGATTAAAACTCTCACAGTTGATCTCCCGTGCCTTCTGTATTACTTGGTTCTGTTCCTGGGTGGCTCGAAACGTAAGCACTACTTTCTAGTAAGCTTCTTCAGCAGGCTGGGCAAGCCGAAAGAGGGATTGTTTGAGGAAAGTTAACTTCATAATTTGGCCATACTTGTGTGTTATATTTCCTAGGCCAGGCCACTCCTTCCCCGAGCTATGCAGAGAATGCTAATTAAAATATATGCCTGGGATTGCAGTATCAGGTAACTCATCTGTATAATAGAGACATCAAATGCTAAAATATTTGCGATTAATGTGATTACTGTTGAGCACCAACCTAAAATATCGAGTTAACCGTTTAATTCAACTGGCTAAACCTGGTGGTGGTTATATAATTTAACAGTTACAGGTAAAGTCATCGTGGTCCTAGAGGGCTGCTCTCTCAGTAGCAAGATTAATGGGCAGTGTGGTGGCTCAGTGGTTAGCACTGCTGCCTCACAGCGCCAGGGATCCAGGTTCGATTCCACCCTGGGGCGACTGTCTGTGTGGAATTTGCACATTCTCCCTGTGTCTGCATGTGTTTCCTCCAGGTGCTTTGGTTTCCTCCCACAGTCCAAGGATGTGTGGGTTAGGATGGATTGGCCATGTTAAATTGCCCATTGTGTTCAGGGATATGCAGGCTTAGGTGGATTAGCTGTGGGAAAATGCAGGGTTACAGGGTCGTGGAGTAGATCTGAGCGGGATACTCTTCAGAGGGTCAGTGTGGACTTGATGGGCTGAATGCCTGTTTCCTCACTGTAGGGATTCTATGAGAGAGCTGATTTACCTGAGGGTCACCACGCCTCAAGTGAAGGGCAAGGTTGAGAAGGCAGGACCTTTATGATGGCCTTGGTCGGCACAGGAATTAAATCCACACAAGGTGGTGTCACTCTGCATCATGAACGGATTCCCTAATTGATGTCTAGATTAATAATGCAGGGGATGGCAGTTTGAAAATATACTCAGATAGTGGGATTCAATTGCAAACTGATTATAATTGTGAAAATGTTGGTCTGGCACTAGAGAAGACAAATCTGTCAGATTCTAATTTTTTTTTGTTTAAAAAAAATCCAGCAGGATTCAATTGTGTTCTTCAGGGATTGAAACCTGTTGCCCTTACTTGGCCTGGGCTCGCGTCAAAGTGGTTGGTTCTTAACTACTGAGGTGGGCCCAACTGATTTTGCGGAATGAAAACAGGCAGACAGACCTGGCTGCTTCCCTGGCTTTAGAAGTGTTGATGGCAGATCCAGCCCAGTCAAATCTGCAAGTCCTCTTCGCTACATTGGGTGCAGAAATTGGGGGAGCTGTTCCCACAGGCAGGACAAAGCAGCAGCCTGATCCGCTCAGATCCATCAGCTCCACAGTGGGAGGCAATGGCCTAGTGGTATTATTGCTGGACTGTTAATGCAGAGACCAGCCAACATTCTGGGGACCCAGATTCAAATCCCAGCCACAGCAGATGCTGGAATTTGAATTCAGTAAAATATCTGAAATTAAAAAAATCTAATGATGACTGTGAATCCATTGTTGATTGTCAGGGGGGAAAATCCCATCTTGTTCACTAATGTCCTTACCTGGTCTGGCATACAGGTGACTCCAGACCCACAGCAATGTGGTTGACTCTGAGCAATTAGGGATGGACAATTAAATGCTGCCTGGTCACTGACTCCCTCATCCCGTGAATGAATAAAGGGGAAAAAAAACATTCCTACCTCATAGCCAATGATGGTGTGCTGGAGGCAGATCTAGTCTGAGCTCTCGAAACGGGAATTTGATATTTAATGTTAGAGCAAATTGTGCATCTGGAGTTATATCTGCACTCTGTAGCTTGTTTCAAGTGTTACCTGGTTTCTGTGCTTAAGGAAAGATTTGCATGGGAGGCAGTACAGCAAAGGTCATTGGTTCATCTCTGGGATGAGAAGGTTTGTCCTCTGTTGAAAGACTGATTAAATTTGCCCCGTATTCTCTAGAGTTTGGAGGAAAAAGGCTTTCCCAATAAAACATACCAAGATTCTGAAGGGGCTGTACAAAGCAAACATTGAGAAGTGTTTCCACTGGCTGGAAAATTTAGAAGCAGGGAGGTGTGTGGGAGGGCAGCTGCAGGATAAGGGCTTGATCGCTCAGCACTGAAAAAGTTCTTTGCTCCAGTGGTTCTGAATCTTTGTAAGTTATCTCGCTCAGAGGGTTGCGGATTACGCATCATTGAATACTTGTGAGGCCGAATCAGATTTTTGATTTCTTAGGGAACCAGTTGGAGCTTAGCAGAAGATCAAACCGTGATTGTACTGATTGGTAGAGTGTTCTTGATGGGCCGAATGGTCTGTTCGTGCTCCCATTTCTTATGTTCTTATATTTATTTCATACTTTACAGCGTGAGGAATGAACTAATCCCCTAAAAGTTTAGATTCTGGTCTATAGAGGGCTTCCTCTTCTGAATCGTGATTAAAGTGACACTTGAGAATTGACTACACCTTCCATGATGCAAAAATAATCCGGTTCTATCTGGTTTTCACTGGTATTTTCTTCATGCTTTCCTGACTTTTTTTATAAAATCATTGCACTTCTGTATTTCCAGAGACACTGAACAAAATCCGCATCATGAAGAATCAGAACACTGGACTTTATACAATCGAGTCGACACTATATCATACAGTGAGCAAGGCTGATATAAATGCCAAGTTCTTTTGTGAAGTGGTTTATCCCTTCAAAGGAGGAAATGGCACGCAGAGATCTGAACCCATCACCATAGATGTGCATTGTAAGTATTGACTCTGAGCCCCTTGTGATGATGTTTGCTTTGTAGATTTTGAGTATTGCTGTAAAAAGAGACACACAGTTGATGGTTTTCACCTTGTACTCATCAGGATCCAAGCAAGAATACCAAATTTCAAAGGGAGCAAGAAGGTATACAGTTTGAAAACCCAGGGTGCACCTTGTGGTTCACTCGCCTTTCTTGAAGTTCAAAAATTCTCACATGGTGCATTCTCTACGGCAACACCCCAACCAATCTGAGTCCACATGTCTATAACTCAGCAACTTGTTCATCATACAATAGAAATTGGTTGGGTCTTTTGTGAAATTTGGCATTCTTGTATCTGTCCTGATGACTGATCACTTTGACAGATCACCTCCTTTCCTCAGCAATAGCCCTTGTGAAAATTTGAATACTACTCCTAGTTGTTACTTCTGCAACAACCAACAATCTCCCCGAATCCCTGCTATTCGATAACATTGACTAACAAGTGAACTGCTCCCGCCAATACTCCACTTTCTACTAAATAAAAACCAAGAGAACTGCGGATGCTGTAAATCAGGAACAAAAACAAAGTTGCTGGAAAAGCTCAGCAAAATTTAGAGAGTTAACGTTTCAGGTCTGGTGACACTTCCTCAGAACTGATCTGAGGAAGGGTCACCGGACCCAAACCATTAACTCTGATTTATTTCTTCACAGATGCTGGCAGACCTGCTGAACTTTTCCAGCAACTTTGTTTTTGTTCCTGTTTTTTACTCCACTTTCTACCTTCATTCTTGTGTAGCACCTCCATTCCCTGGTGGTGATGTAAAATACTGCGCTGAACCAAACTGCATTTGTGACTATGCACATCTTTATGAATAGAGTGTATTTCAAAATTTTTAAAAATTGCCTGAAACAAAAGAAAGATCAGGATGCATTGAGTGTAGATTGAACTAGTAAAAGGGATATTGATCAGATGGGCCAATGGGCTGAGGAGTGGCAGATGAAATTTAATTTAGATGAATGTGAGATGCTGCATTTTGGAAAGGCAAATCAGGGCAGGATTTATACACTTAATGGTAAGGTCCTGGGGAGTGTTGCTGAACAAAAAGAGCTCAGAGTGCAGGTTCATAGTTCCTTGAAAGTGGCGTCACAGGTAGGTTGAATAGTGGAAAAGGCATTTAATATGTTTGCTTTTATTGGTCGGTGCATTGAGTGTATGAGTTGGGACATTATGTTGCGGCTGTACAGGACATTTCTGAGGGCACTTTTAGAATTCTGTGTGCAATTCTGGTCTTCCTGCTATAGGGAGGATGTTGTAAAACTTGAAAGAGCTCAAGAAAGATTTACAACAATGTTGCCAAGGTTGGAGGGTTTGAGCTATAGGGAGAGGCTGAACAGACTGGGGCTATTTTCTTGTTGATGAGCCTCACTCTTCCAAACTCCACCTTCGTTGATTCATCTTTCTTGATTTAACGTTGATTAGTTGACAAGGGGGAAGTATTTTACTGCTCTTGTCACTAACTCAGGATATTCCCACTTGCCTCAAAGCCAGCAGACTATTTCAGAAATACTCCCACAGCCTTAATAACCAAAGATGACAACGGAAGGTATTTCTCTTCTGAAAGCCAAGGCCCAGGCTCAGCCAGCTTATGAGTCAGACGGTCCTGGGTTCAAATCTCACTTTGTGTGCAATGTCCAGGCTGGTATTCCAGCTGCAGGTCTCAGGAGGTGCTGCACTGTTCAGAGATGCTATTTTTCAGATGAGATATTTAAACCAAGAGCCCCCCCCCAGTATGGGTGTAAATGATCCCACAGCCATGATTTCAAGAGGGAGCAGGGGAGCTAGTCGTAGAGTTATTGAGACATACAGCACGGAAACAGACACTTCGATCCAACCAGTCCATGCCGAACATAATCCCAAACTAAACTAGTCCCACCTGCCTGTGCTTGGCCCATATCCCTCCTTCTTTTAAATGTCATAACTGCACCTGCATCCACCACTTCCTCTGGAAGTTCATTCTACACACGAACCACTCTCTGTGTAAAAGAAATTGCACCCGTGTCTGTCTTCTCACCTTAAAAATATGTCGCCTAGTCTTGTGAAATCCACCACCCTTGGGAAAAGACACCTTCCATTCACCTTATCTACGCCCTCAAGCTTTTATAAACCTCTATTAGGTCACCTTGTAATGATAAGGTTCTCTTATTCCTCACTAGAAATCATAACAGGAAAAGTTTATCAATGACCTAACAAAGGTTCCAAATCTGTGGTTGCTAAATTAGCGGATGACATGGACTTAGGTAGGACAGTAAGGCGCAAAAGCAGGTAAAGGGTCTACAAAGGGGTATAGATAAATTCAGAGAGTGGGCAAAAATATGGCAGATGGAGTTTAATATGGGAAAATGTGAACCTGTCTACTTTGGTAGGAAGAATAGGAAAGAAGTGTACTATTTAAATAGAGAACCTTGAGGCGCAGAGGGATCTGGGTGACCTAGTACTCGAATCATCAAAGGTTAATGGGCAAGTACAGCAAGCATTTTCAGGAGGCAAATGGATTGTCCATCATTGGAAGGGGAACAGAATAGAAAAATAGAGAAGTGCTGCTCCAATTGTACGAGGATTAATGAGACTACCTCTGAAGCACTATGCACAGTTTTGGTTCCCCTATTTAAGGAAGAACATAATTGCATGCAAAGCAGTTCAGAGAATGTTCACTGAACTGATTTTGAGGATGAGGGGATTTATATTGCAAGGAAAGGTCAGGCAGGATGAGCCTATATCCATTAGAGTTTGCAAGAATAAAAAGTGACCTGACTGAAACATCTAAGATCAAGTAGGGCTGAAAGGATGTTTCCCCTTGTGGGAGAGATGAGAACAAGTGGACACGAATTAAAAAGAAGGGGGTCTCCTGTTTAAGACGGAGGCACATGTTCTGTCTGAGGGTGTCGAGTCTATTGAATTCTCTTCCAGAGGGAGCAGTGGAGACTGGCTCTATTTTTAAGATCGAGTTGGCTGCACTCTTGGTTGAACAGGGAGCCAAACTAGGAGGTCGCTGGAAATGCAGAGCTGAGGTCACTATCAGTCCAACCCTAATTTGATCAAAAGACGGAGCTTGTTTGAGGGGCCGAATGGCTCTAGTCTGTATGTTGACATTATCTGGCTATGCTCAGAGAGCTTGTGCAGATACTGACCATTAGATTTGAGCAGTGACGGCTCTTTAAACATACCGCATTGGCTGTAAAGCATTCAAGGGGTCCCAAAATGGCTCTATACAAATGCAGGTCTTCCTTTCTCCTGAGCCCTAAGGAATGCTTGATCTCTCTCTGTCTCCCTTTTCCCACATACAGACCCAGTGGAGAGCGTTATGATTGAGGTCCAGCCGCCCAGTGGTATGATCAGAGAGGGCGATAACGTCACCCTGAACTGCACGGCTGACACCAACCCCTCACCAGCGGAGTACGTCTGGGAAAAAGATGTGAGTTTGTATCAAGTCGCAGGCAGAGGCCCACAGATCACCAACTACGTGGAGCTAACTGTTCTCCCTCAGGGGTCTGGCCAGGACTTTTGCTGCCACGGTCACCACACAGCTAGCCGCTCTCCCAGCGTTTGGAAAAATACTGCTTAGTGGAACTTCTGAGTGTATTGTTCACAATACAGCTACACAGCGCACTCTCCTTGGTCAGGCCTGAACCTATCAAACACTGGAGCCCACAGGCTCACGTAGCTGCTAGGGAGGGTCCAGCAGGGATTGGGTTTCGGATTGGAATTTGGGTTGGAACTCACTTTGGAGTTGGGTCTGGGACTGGGTCAATGTTGGGGTCAGGTTGGGGTTCCAGGTTAGGGTCACATGTTCATTCCATACTCCCCTGACATTTTAAACTCAACCCAGTCTCGCCCTGTCCTTGTGATGGTTTCAATAAACCTTAACTCACTCCCAGTGCCCCAGCTATAGGGTATTTAATATGAGGTGCTATCAGTAATACCCTCACGCAGGGTATTTAACATGAGGTGCTATCAGTAACACCCTTACAGGGGGTATTTAACATGAGTTGCTATCAGTAACACCCTCATACAGGGTATTTAACATAAGTTGCTATCAGTAACACCCTTACACAGGGTATTTAACATGAGTTGCTATCAGTAACACCCTTACACAGGGTATTTAACATGAGTTGCTATCAGTAACACCCTTACACGGGGTATTTAACATAAGTTGCTATCAGTAACACCCTCACACGGGGTATTTAACATGAGGAGTTCTCAGCAATATGGCACAGTGGCTCAGTGGGTTAGCACTGCTGCCTCACAGCGCCAGGGACCCGGGTTCGATTCCACCCTCGGGTAACTACCTGTGTGGAGTTTGCACATTCTCCCCCTGTGTCTGCGTGGGTTTCCTCCCACAGTCCAAAGATGTGCAGGTTAGGGTGGATTGGCCATGCCAAATTGCCGGCAGTGTTCAGGGATGTGTAGATTTGGTGTGTTATGGGGGGGGATGGCTCTGGGTGGGATGTTCTGAGGGTCAGCGTGGACTTGTTGGGCTGAAGGGCCTGTTTCCATAATGTAGGGATTCTATGACTATGAATACCCCCATATGGGGGATTTAACACAAGGGGCTCTGAGTGCTGTATGAACTTGTGGACCTTGCTTTCAGGGGAAGCCGCTCGATGGCCTGAGCCTGTACAAGCTATATGCCGTGACGAAGGAGGACGAAGGGGAATACGTGTGCACTGTCTATGATTTCAACTACAACGTCAAATCAGCGGTCAGGGTCATCCACGTGAAAGGTAGGGCCCATCCCCTGATTGAACAAGTGGGCATTGTATTCGCATCGCCGCTCTAACAATCCTGCAGAGACATGAGTTCAAATCCCACCACAGTCACTGGAGGAAGTTAAGCAGCACCTAGACAAAGGGGACGGGGCAGCAGAGTTTATGGTTTGTTTAGAGTTGATGTGGCGTTTGTTAAGTGGAGGGAGAGATAGTAGCCATGCTGAGAAGCAACTGGTTGAGGCATTCAAGATGGTATTAGTTGGTTATTTGGATGGAGATGGTGTGCAGGGATTCGGGGCAAAGGCAGGAGACTGGCGCTAGGCAATAGAGCTAGTACAGGCATGATGGGATGAACGGCCTCCTTTGGCACTGTAGCAATTCTGTAATGCTGTAAAGATTGGATGAATCCCTGCTAGTCTGAGGAAAGTCCCATGGGCTAATTACTGTCGAGGGGTTCTGAGTTTAGCGGGTGGCTCGGTGGTTAGCACTGCTGCCTCACAGCCCCAGGGACCCGGTTCGATTCCAGCCTCAGGCGACTCTGTGTGTGGAGTTTGCACATTCTCCCCGTGTCTGTATGCATGTCATCCGGGTGCTCCGGTTTCCTCATACAGTCCAAAGATGTGCAGTTTAGGTGGCTCGGACATGCTAAATTGTCCCCTAGTGTCCAGGGATGTGTCGGCGAGGTGGATTTGTCATGGGAAATGCAGGGTTACAGGGATTTGGTAGGCCTGGGTGGGATGCTCTTCGGAGATGGGCGGTGGGCAGTGTGGACTTGTTGGGCCGAATGGCCTGCTTCCACACTGTAGAGACTCTACGATCCTGTCTGAGAGACAGCATCTCCAGCTGAGCCCACCCCTTCTGCCAGCAGAGCTTTTGAGAGCAGTCAGCCTGATTGTCTCTGTAGGTCGGAGGAGTGGGACTCGAACCTGGCTCCGAGAGCCACTCAGTCACTTTAAGTGACTCTGGGTGCTGCTATTTTAACCGTGGAGACCGAAATGAGCAGATGAAAGCCCACCTCTGGGCAGCTCCTCACCAAACCACTGTAACCAAATGGTGAAACCAATTCAAACTCCTATTGAGGTAGTGAAGCAGCCTAAAGCATCTCACACAAGAGGTCTATCAGGCACAATAGGTTATTTGCAAAAACTTTGTCAAGAAGCTGGGTTTCAATGGAGACAATTATAAAAGAGGTAGAGAGAGATTTAAGAAACAACTTCGAGTTTAGGGCCCAGGTGGCTGATAGCACAGTTCCCCGTCTGTGGAGCAAATAAAATTTGGGATGCTCAGGCACCTGAATTGCAAATATCTGGGGAAGTTGTGGGGTTGGAGGAAGTTAGAAAAGGGGTGAGGATGTGAAGGGATTTGAAGACAAAGATGAGAATTTCAGAAACAAGGTGTTGCCGAACTGCAAGTCAAGTTGCATCAACAGGTTTGTTATTACTTGCGTGGTTCTGCGTCAACTCTTTTTCTGTCTGCTCTTTATTCCAGCAGGGAAAGAAGACAATAAGTCAGATGAAAGAGGAGGTAAGAGACCCTTTGGTTTATTAAAGAGTTGCCTGAAGTGTGATCCTCAGTGGAATCTGGTCTAATCCATTGCTGTCACAAATGAGACCAGTTCAGACCAGAATGAATGGTAAATGTGGTGATTCCAGGCCGGGGTGTGGGTACAGTGCTGAAGGCTAGACTCTTGTTGGTATCATGGGGAGGAAATGGACAAATGGTATTATCGCTGGGCTGTTAATCTAGAGATTCAGGTAATGTTCCAAAGGCCCAGATTCAAATCCCACCAAGGCAGATGATGGAATTTGAATTCAATTTTTAAAAAAAAGGTCTGAAATTAAGAGTCTAATGATGACCATGAAACCCTCGTCAATTACCAAAACAACCTACCTGCTTCGCTAATGTCCTTTAGGAAACTGGTCTGGCCTACAAGTGACTCCAAACACACAGCAATGTGGTTGACCCTTAACTCAGTTAGGGATGAGCAATAAATGCTGTGCTTTGAATCATAGAATTCTTACAAATATGGAAATGGGCCATTCAGCTCCATCGACCATCTGAAGAGCATCCCATCCAGACCCAACCCCCCTACCCTATCCCTGTAACCCTGCATTCCCATGGCCAATCCACCTAGTTTGCGCGTCCCTGGACACTACGGGCAATTTAGCATGGCCAATCCACCTAGCCTGCACATCTTTGGACTGTGGGAGGAAACCAGAGCACCCGGAGGAAACTCACACAGACACAGGAAGGACATGAGGGGAGGCAATGACCTAGTGGTATTATCACTGGACTGTTAATCCAGAGACCCAGATAATGTTCTGGGGACATTAGTTTGAATCCCGCCATGGCAGATGGTGGAATTTGAATTCAATAAAATATCTGGAATTAAGAATCTAATGATGACCATGAATCCATTGTCACTTGTCGGAAAAACCCATCTGGCTCACTAATGCCCTTTAGGAAGTAAACTGCCATCCTTACCTGGTCTGGCGTACATATGACTCCAGACCCACAGCAATGTGGTTGATTCTTAACTGCCCTCTGGGCAATTAGGGATGGGCAATGAATGCTGCCTGGCCAGCGCCTCCCTCATCCCGTTAATGATTAAAGGAAAAAAAACATGTGACCGAATCTGGAATTGAACCCATGTCCCTAGAGCCATGAGGTAGCAGTGCTAATTACTCAGTCACCTTGCCACCCCATGGTCTAGTATCTTCACCACCGTGCCCAGACCTGGGCACAGAGACAAACTTGGGGTGTGAAATTGGAGCATTGGTTGGAGATATATAACGTTGCACCTACTCAGACTTCCCTTCCGCTTCATCCTGAGTTATTTCATCACAGAAGAATGCTATTAAGTCCATCTAAATCAGATCCCGGAAAGCAGTGTCCAATTAATTCAACTCCCCTGCCCTTTTCCCTTGGCCTGGAAAACATTTTGGTGTTTATCTTTATTTAATTTTGCGTTTACCAAATTCCCTTCTGAAAGTTTCTCGCAATACATCGGAGCAGGAATAGGCCATTCAGTTCGTTGAGCATCTTCTGTCATTCAATATGAACATGGCTGATCTTGGGCTTCAGATCTACTTTCCCACCAGCTCTCCGCATTCTCTGATTCCCTGAAGGACCAAAAATATGCCTGTTTCTGCCTTAAATCTACTGAGCAATGGAACGTCCGCAAGTCCCTGAAATCCAAAATCCAAAGGTTCACAATACTGTGAGTGAAGAGATTTCTCTTCACTCAATCCTACAGGATCAGCCCCTCATCCGAGGCTGTGTTTTTGATTCCCCAGCCAATGAGGTGGGTAAGGGAGATAATCACTCAGTATCGATCCTGACAACGTTTGCATTGTCTCAATGAGATCACCTCTCATTCTTCTAAACTCCAGGGATTATAGACAGAGTTTTCTCAGCTTCCCATCACAGGACAACCTCCTCATCCCGGAGATTAATTTAGTAAACCTCTGCTGTACAGCCTCCAATGAAAGTATGCCTTTAATTGATTTTGGTCCCGCGACCAAAACTCTGCACAGAACCTCCAGACCCATTGAGTAAACGAAGTTTCTCTTCACGTCAGTTCAAAATGACCTACCCCATATCCAGAGACTGTGACATTGGTCCACCCAACATTCAGTCTATCCAGACATATTAGAATTAATGTAAGACGCTGGTAAGGCCACATCTGGAGTGTTGTTTGTAGTTCTAGTCACCATGTTACAGGAAGGATGTAATTGCTCTGGAGAGAGTGCGGAGAAGATTGACTAGAATGTTTCCAGGGCTGGAGAGTTGTAGCTATGGGGTGAGATTGGAGAGGTTGGGGTTGTTTTCCTTGGAACAGAGAAGGGTGAGGGGGGCAACGTGGTGAGATGTACAAAATTGTGAGGGGTAGAGATAGACAGGAGGCACCCGTTTCCCCTGGCAGAGAGTTCAAAAACCAGGGGTTATGGATTCAAGCTAAGTGGCAGCAAGATTAGAGGGATGTGAGGAAAAGCTTTTTTTTATGCAGAGGGTGGTGGGGTGTCTGAAATTGGCTGCCTGAGTTTTTGGTGGGGGCAGTGTTTAAAAATGTACCTGGATCTGCTCCTTAAGCTGCAGGGCTATGGGCCGTGTGCAGGAAGATAGGATTAGAAAGGAGTTCCGGGTGTCTTTGGGTTGGCATGGACAAAATGGGCCGAGTGGTTTCTTTCTGTGCGCATCATTTCTACAGTTCTATTTAGTCTTGCAAAACTGTGTACAATTAGGCCACTTGGCTCTTTGTGCTTGTTTGACCATTCAATAAGATTGTGGCTGCTCTGATTATACCATCTTCCTGTCTACTGCTGATAGCCTTTCACCAATTGTTTATGAAGCATTTGTCTTACCTCTGACTTAAACAGTGGACTGTTTCCATTGCCTTTGGAGGAAGAGAGCTCCAAAGACTGTCAGTCCCCTGTGAGAGAAGAATTTGCTCTCATCTCTGATCCCATTATTTTTAAACAGTGAGCCCTGGTGGGTGCAGATTCGTGTAGAGGCGGATGTGGGTTGGCACGGTCTGTGATGAACATCAGGTTAAATAACGAGTGGGGAACGTCCAGTGATAGGAGGTACAAGTTGGCCTCCTGTGAAGTGAGAGCCGACAGAGACAGCACCTTCGAGTGTCAAGGACAAAGCAGGAAGCAAATAGTCAGGGGGAAAAATCCCATAAATAGATAATTGAATTTCAATATTAACTTTCACGGTCCCGGAAAGTTTCCAACATTGTTTTGCAGCCATTGAAAGTTTTTTTTCTGAAGTGTAATTACTGCTGAACCATAAGAGAAACAGCGTACAAATTGCACACTGAGAGATCCCACCAGCCACCGTGACCTAAGGAACAGATCATATTTCAGTGGCATTGGTGAAGGGATAAATATTGGCCGGGATACAGAGTAGAGCTCCCCTGCGAGACCATTTACAATAACCTGGGGGAGAGATGGGGAACCTGTTGTTAACATCTAGCCTGAAAGTCTGCAATTCTGTCCAGTGCCTAGACACTGAAGTGGGATGTGAACCCATGGAGATGAGAACACTACCCAACAAGCCATATAGCTGACACCCTGATAAGGCTGAGGAAAGAAGGATGGGGCAAGAACTAAAGTAAGGCAGCTTCGAATGTGTGTGGAGGGTGGTGTTGGGAGAGGGGGCAGTTGTAAAAGATTTTGCTCTGACATTTTTACCATTTTCTTCTTGAACAGTGTTTCCAGTGATTGCTGAAGAGAGTCACTCAGCAGGTATGAACCTTGTTGCCAGCACAGCGCTGGATATCCACTGTCCAATTGAATCTTACCAGGGCACTGACTTATTCAATGAGAGTGAGGTTGGCAGATAAGATTTTAAGGCAGCCAGGCTTCTCCATTTTAACAGAGGCTTTAACCTACTTGCAAACTGTAGGCTGACAAATGAACTCCACTTGTCCATGTCATTCACTCACCGGAACTTTCTAACCTATCATTTCTATGATGTGGTTTTTATTACATCCACACCAGATGTGCAGCTACATAAATGTAATTCACACTTTGCGCTTTCTCTGTCAAACTCTACCTGATATGGTGTTCTCCAAATCCCACTGCACCCCGCTTTGTACTGTCTCTATTCTGCTTTGCTCTATTCTGTACCCTCCATACTCCACTGCACCCCACTTTGTTCCTTCTCTATTCCACTCTCCCCTATTGGGTGATAACTGCAGCCCACTTTGTTCCCCCGTATCCCACTCTACCCAATTGGTCATCCTCAAAGTCCCATTGCACCTCACTTACCTTCTTTCTCTATCCCAATAAATGCCACTTTGTTGCATTTCCACGTCACTCAGTCATATCCTGTACACTCCATAAATTACTATCCCCAGTTGGTGGTCTTCTATATTCCATTGTACATCAGTTTCCCATTGCTTAGCTCGTATCCCATTGTCCTCTATTGCAAATTCTCTATTTCCTGTTGCTATTGTGATCCCAGCTGACGTTACGTCTCAAAAAGTCAGATCTCAGACTGAAATAGTTGCATCACATTTTTGTTAGTTTTCACAAGGTCGTTTCTCACTGAACCACAAATCAATGCTCCAGACTCAGGTTCAGCAATAAAACAGAATTTTATTACACAAAATAAACTACGATAAAATTGAATAAATCAAGCTATTTGCATTGAACATGCGTTTAAAGATTTTGAAATACAGACTAAAAATACAAACCCATCAGCACTAAAAGCATTCCTTTACAGTACTTGAACAGCAGAGAGAAATCTCTTTTCTACTACACACTTAGCTGTGGCTTCAATTCTTGGTAACCTGATAAGACTTTGGTTTGTCATGTAACTGAGCTTAGACTTTCTCGGCTTCACATAGCTCCTTCAAAGTTTTAATCAAACACTTCAGGTCTAGAACTTTTAAACACTTTACACTGAGGTAACCTGTTATTGACAATTCTAAATTATCCTCTCCCTGCCTCATATTCAGTTTCAGCCTTTTGAAGAAATGCCCCAGTTGAAAATATTTTTCCCCGTAAGCTAAGGGTGTTTCCACCAACCAAATAAAAGACAGTGTTTGCTGACACCAACAACTGCAGGGAAGCACCTGTGATTTTGAAGTGGGGGTTAGTCGTGCGTGAGGGATATGCCTGCAGGATGGTGGGGGACACCCAGAGTGTGAAGGGTGGAGGGCACAGGAGCCAGGCGTGCAGGGTCACCAAGAAGCACCCAGAACTCAGGAGGAGTTGGTGCAAGCACAGACCAGGACACAGGAGGGGGTGGCACAAGGAAGGCCGAGGAGACAGGAGACACTACTCCTATCTCCCTTCCATGCCTCCACTAGCTCTCTTAACCACCACCCCCACCAACCCCCCCCACCACCCACACTTGTCTGCTCTCTATCTCCGGCTGCCTCCCCCCCACCTTCCAGCTGTCCTCTCCCCTACCCCTGCTCTTTTCCCTTCCCCCACCCTGGCTTTCTCCCCGTACCCTTCCCAGTTCTATTTTTCACCCCACTTCCCTCCTCACCCCACCCTGACCCCAGCCCCAGTGCAGTTCTTTCCCAGATCCCGATCTCTTTCCTAGCTTCCTTCCTCCTGCTGGGACCTCTTTACCTCTTCCTCTCTCCACCCCACCATATCCCCCAGAAATCTGTACATGCACGATTTGAAGCAGTGTATTACATCCATGTGTCAATGTAAGCAACAAAATCCAGAATATTCTCTCTGAAAGCTTAATGTTTCACTGTTTACATAGTTCACTCATAAACTTTCCCAATATAAACAAATACCCATTACTCCAAAACTATCTCTCTATCAGATTTTATTTTGCAAAAACACATCACCATGGCTACAAAAGTACTTGCAAGTTGATAATTTATCCCCTTCAGACACACGGAAAACCCAAATGCCACTTGTTCAAAATTCCAAAATCCAAACTCAAAACAAATGATACTAAAATATATGTGAATCACGCAACTTAAATCACAGTTATTGCTCATCATAGGCAAGTCTGTCCCATTTATATTTGCAGTGTCTTGTCATTCATTGGCTATCATGTACCTTCCATGTCCAAGAGTCTCCCATCATTTACCATCTGAGGACTCATAATTGCCTCTCAATGACTTTTGAAGAATAATCCCAGGATACTGACAACAAGCAAGTATCACAGCAAGCCAATAGAGGAAGAAATTCGGGAAAGAACTATGGTCTTGAAGGAGTAAATGGGTGATGAATGGGTTTAGTTTGGGAATAACAGAGTGTGGAGTGCAGGGATGTTGAAGGCATGGCCGCTAATGGGGGAGGGGTGAAGGGAAATACAAAGTGTTGGGCGGGATGGGGGGGTGGTGTTCAACTGGAAGAGGTCAGACACGGGAGCAGTGAGCAGCAAGGCCGCGGGAGTGATTTTAATGGCAAGAGCAAGAAGTTTTAACAGCACACCCATTGAGCAGGTTAATTTCCTGCAAGCCTCCTTTATCTGTCTGACTCGTTATAACTTGCTGTTACATATTTTACAGATCATCACAGACAGCCCATAGCCATGAACAGGGCTGCCATGGTTATTGGAATCCTAGTGACATTAATGGCTGTGGCTTTCTTCACTAGCGTGGCATATTACCTGTGCTACTACAGGAAGAAGACGGAGAAGTGAGTCAACCTTTCATATTTATCCAGCAGTAAACATCACTCCCACCTCGCCTCAAAGCTGGCACAGAATTGCATAGCATTTACAGTACAGAGACAGGCCATTCGGTCCATCTGGCACACCCTGTTGTTTGTGCTGTGCACAAAATTTACTCATCTAACCTTTTCAGTGACTTCTTATGGTCCTAGTCACCTCTTCATTCCATCTATCTGTTCACCTCAATCATTCCCCATGTGGTTTTAATATGCCTTTTCGAGTTTTAAAATTTATTCTCCAAATGTGAGCATCGCTGGCATTTATTGCTCACTCTGAATTTATCTTAAAGGCTATCTCAGAGTTATCCTCATGAGTTTGGGACGTGTTGGCTAGACTAGGTAAAGACAGCAGCTTTTGTCCTCTGAGGGACATTAGTGAACCAGAGGATCTATGACATTGCTGTAGATTTATTATGATCATTATGACTGAGACCAGCATTTCATTGCAACTTCAGTCAAATATAACTTCCTTCAGATGCCGCAGTGGGATTTGACCCATTTTTTTCCCCCAGCCTGTTAGTCTGGGCTTTAGGATTCCAAGTCTAGTAATATTACTACCATGCAACTGCTTCCCTTCCATTCCCTGCCTGGAGTATAATCATACAATTGATCATTCAGTCCTTGATGCAGCTCCCATTTTTGAGCTAACAATCATTGCAATGTTGAGGCCTACGTTAATGCCGTGACAACTGAGCTAAAATAGTAGTCAAAGGCTGCTTTGAGGTTCTGAACCTTTTATTCATATCCTCACCCCATCCCTGTCTCTACAATTTGCTGTGAGCCCCACAACTTTCTGAGATCTCTTTGCTTCCCCAACTCTGGCCTGTCATGATTTTTACGGTTCCTTCACCAGATAGTGTGCTCTCACCTGCTGAGTCCCTAATTTCCAGGATTCCCTCTCTCAGCCTTCCTGACTTGGTAGCTCTCCTTCCTCCTCGCTTCAAACCTAGCTGTTTGACCACCCTTCTGCTCTGTTGGTATGAAAAATAGCCACTCTTCAGTCTGCGGGCGTCAAGCAAGCAAAGATGTTATTAGAATCATAGAATCCCTACAGTGTGGAAACAGGCCCTTTGGCCCAACAAGTCCATACTGACCCTCAGAGCATCCCACCCCTAGAAACCACCCAATCTACACATCCATGAACACTACGGGCAATTTAGCATGGCCAATCTACCTTGCCTGCACATCTTTGGACTGTGGGAGGAAACCAGAGCACCCGGAGGAAACCCACGCAGACACGGGGAGAATGTGCAAACTCCACACAGACAGTCGCTCGAGGGTGGAATTGAACCCAGGTCCCTGGCGCTGTGAGGCAGCAATGCTAACCCACTGTGCCACTGTGCTGCCCCCCCTTACATTACCGCCAAATGCCAATGAGCCCGACGTGATGTTCCAAGCATACACAAGAAGAAACAAAAAAGAAACAGAAATTGGTGGAAAATCTCTGCTGGTCTGGCAGTAGAAAGAAATCAAAGTTAATGTTTCGGGTCCAGTGACCCTCCCTCAGAACTCTGAGGCCAAATGGCTACTGCTCCTGGTTCACATGTTTGTGACCATCCTGTCTGTATTCTCATTTCCTCGTTTTATTTAAAATTCATTCATGGGATGTGGGCATCGCTGGCTGGACCAGCATTTATTGCCCCATCCCTAATTGCCCAGAGGGCACTTAAGAGTCTGTCATATTGCTGTGGGTCTGGAGTCACATGTAGGCCAGACCAGGTAAAGATGGTAGATTTCATTCCCTTAAGGGACATTAGTGAACCAGAGGGGCTTTTCCTGACAATTGTCATCATTAGATTCTTAACTCTAAATTATTTTTGCATTTGAATCCCACCAACTGCCGTGGCTGGATTCGAACCCAGGTCCCCTGAACGTCTGGATTAATAGTCTAGCAATAATACCACTAGACCATAGGTGCAGTGATGAATAATTTACTTACAAAGGCCATTATTGTCATAACATGGAAGGAATTGACCATAATGACAGCACTTATTATAAGACTGCCAAGCACTTTCATTTCAGCCTGTAAGTATTCATTCCCACCCAATGCACTAATACTACCCTTCATGACTCAGTATGAAATTGTGTTTGATAATGCATTTTGTGAAGCGCCTGTGAATAGCTTACTATGTTAAATGCACTATCAGAGCATGTGAAGATAAGAAGAAGGAGCAGGACTGAACCATTCAGCCCATCGAGCTTGTTGTGCCATTCTGTACAATCAAGGCTGATTGACTGTCTTAACTGCACCAACTTCCCCTATCCCTTAGTTCCCTGAGAGACTAAAGGCCGGTCCATCTCAACCTTAAATATACTCCAAGATGGAGGATTTACAGCCCTGTTGGGTAAGGAATTTCAAAAGTTCCCTATTTATTTTCCCTTTGTAGACAGCAGTGCTCATGAAGAAGTTAGATAGGTTTGTGACTAACAAAGGAGTCAAAGGTCAATGTAAGGGGTTAAGATGGGAATGAAGGTACAGGCTCAATGGGCCAAAGGGCCTTTTCTGTACTGTGGAGAAGAGAACTGCGAATGAATCATTTGACTCCTTTAGGTTCAATAAGATAGGGACTGTTCGGATTTTGATTTCAACAGATGTAGAATCACACAACACAGAACAGACCCTTCAGCCCATCGAGTATGTACCGTCATTCCCATCTTACACCTCCCCTCCCCCATTAACCTTTCATTCCCTTGTTAGCCAAGAACCAATTGCACACAAACATAATTCTATAATCTGAACTCCATTTTCTGCCCCCGGTCCAGGAACTCCACACCTACGTCTGTGACACCACCCAAGCCCTCCACCTCCTCCAAAATTTCCGATACCCTGGTCCCCAGCACCTCATCTTCACCATGGACGTCCAGTCCCTATACACTTGCATTCCCCATGCAGATGGCCTAAAGGCCCTCCACTTCTTCCTGTCCCGCAGGCCTGACCAGTCCTCCTCCACTGACATCCTTGTCCGCTTAGCTGAACTCATCCTCACCCTTAACAACTTCTCGTTCAATTCCTCCCACTTCATACAGACAAAGGGGGTGGCCATGGGTACCCGCATGGGCCCAAGCTATGCCTGCCTCTTTGTAGGATACGTGGAACAATCCCTCTTCCAAAGCTACACTGGCCCTATCCCTCACCTCTTCCTCAGTTACATTGATGACTGTATCGGCCACAACGATGCCACCCGAAGGTTGCAGGAACAGCACCTTATATTTCGCTAGGGAACCCTGCAGCCCAATGGTATCAATGTGGACTTCACAAGCTTCAAAATCTCCCCACCCCCGACTGCATCCCAAAACCAGCCCACCTCCCTAACCTGTCCGTCCTTTCTCCCACCTATCCGCTCTCACCCATGCCTCTGGAGATACAACAGGCCATGGGGTCAGCTCACAGCTCTCACGCTGAATGTACTAGCCTTTGAGGTGCCCAGAGACCTCAGCCATGCAACTGGTGGGATCTTGCTGTTCTCCAATGCAGCCACATCTCTCCTGCATTACAACTGCAGCTCACTCAAAGTCTTGTTGTTCAGGGTGGACCTTCTGGTGAGTTACTAGAACAGCCATTTCATCGTTAAACCTGGGTATCCTGTGGTAAAGACAAAACACCGCAGATGCTGGAAATCTGAAACAAAGACAGAGAGCACAGGAGAAACTCAGCAGGTCTGGCAGCATTTGTGGAGAGAGAGAAAAACAGAGTTAATGTTTTGAGTCTGGTGTGACTTCTTCAGAACTGATGAGTTATGGGTATCCTGTCCTGTCTGGAGGCTGAGCCATAAATAGTTCTTCCACATGGCTGAGAGAAAGGGTGAAATGCTGCCAAAAGTTTCCATCTCACACATGTCAGGAACTGAGAATACCAAATTTCAGAATGGTATTCATAAATTGTACCACATTACAAAAGGGTACTGATTGGTTGGCAAATTGATACTCTGATCGTGGCCAACGAATCAGCAACCTTTTCACAGGCTGTATAAATTTGGCATTCTTGTGTGTGTCCTGATGAATGAAGAGATGAAAATTTTCAAGCATAGCCCTTTTTTTAAGCAACATTCAAGCTCTGTATTGCCAAGCGAGTATCCTTTAATGAAACTTTCCATAAGTTGAACTAATATCTGTTTATTAAGGAAACCATTGGAGGATCTAGAGGAGAGGAGACCAATGGATCCAGAGAATGTTCCTTCAACAGTGGAAAAGGTCATTCGTGAGGTGGGTCATTTTAATCCACAATGCAATTTTTATTTATTTCATATTCCCCTTGGTCTTTTTTATTTGCTCGTCATAGGATGTGGGCATTGTTAGCTAGGCCATTTCTTACCTTTAAAAAAGTCCCTGATAGCCCAGAGGGCTGTGGAAAGTCAACCCAATATCGGCCAGACCAGGTAAAGATGACAGATTTCCCTCCCTAAAGGTGAGGTGAACTAGATGGGTTTTTTTTTCACAATCAGTGATAGTTAATGCTTGCCATTGTGCAGCAATTTTCATTCCAGATTTCCTTTATTGAATTAAAAATTGACCGCTTGCTCTGGCGGGATTTGAACCCATATTTGGGAATTAGGCCGGGGTTCTGGATTACTGGTCCAGTCGGATTACCACTACAGCACCATCCTCTCCATTCCTCCCACCAATTAGGTTGCTTTCAGTATCCATGCTTACAATACCCTATAGTTATACTGTACTTCATTCATATATCCCAGCACCATATCTCTGGTATCTTTGGCCCTGTCATTTGGACACCCATTGCCCACATTCCCGGGAAGACTCAACAGGTCGAGTGCCTGTCCCACCGCTGGTGTGCCACTTCCTTCCTTTGCAACCATCTGATGGAAGTGAAACTCCGCCTGTTGTACCGTTCCACTGAAGGTGGGGTGTGCTACAGAGTGAGTGCCAACTTACTGCTGGTATCGCCCAAGCTCACACGCTGTTGGTGAATTTTAAACATCCATTCAACTGCGTTGCACTGAGTCACCGCCGTATGCCATCGCTCACCCAAGTTGCTTCCAATTGCTTCAGCGCCCACTCGGTTTACTACGTGGGCTGCAGCTCATTGGGCTACCCACTCTTCCCCTTAGGTCAGAGAGTCATGTGTTTGCATCCTACTCCAGAGCATCAAACTGGGCTAACCACTCGTGGTGCATTGAGATAGGGGCCACGTTGTCGGAGGTGCCATCTTTCAGAGAATGTGTTAAATGGAGATCCCCTCGGTTGCAAGCGGAAGATCCCAGTCCCCTGTTTTGATGAAGAGCTGGGGATTTCTTCCTAGTGTCCCTGCCCAGCATTCAACCCTGAAGCACCATCACGAATGATTATCTGCTTTCTGTCGCATTGCCGAGCTGGCTTTGTGCAAACAGAACTGCACTTCAAATGGTGCTGCCCTAGATGTAATTTGGGAATGTACTGAGGCTGAGAAAGATGCAAACTGAATGCAAATTCTTAATTTCTTTTATCTCAGGAATGACGGGCTTCCAGGTCTTGCTGAATCTCTGCCAGCAACGAATCCAGAACATCATTACATCTAGTACAACATTCAGGCATAATAAAGCCAAAGATTGATCAGAACCTTAAACCTCTGTATTAAAAAAATGAAGATTTTAATTTTGGTTTTTTCAATGCTATTAAACATGAAGCCTCCAATGTCTATAGCCTTACTGTATTGATTATCTGCTAAGTCTCCACAAGACAAGTTGGGCCTGCTGTTTGCAGTACTATTGTTGGATTGTTTCTCTTGTTCAATGAAATGCACGCTACTTATTTTGTTACCCAGTACTGCAATTCTCTTCAGTCTGTGTCCTTGCGTGTTGCCCATGTTTCCTATTATAGGGGGAAGACCCTTGAACGGTTTCTGTCCAAAAATCGCTGTGCAGTCAGTTCAATTGGTCAAATACAGGGATTAGTGGTGGACAGGGCCAGATAACTGCTTTGTATAATGTTTAAAATCCGAATAAAGTTATTGCTTTTCAGAGCCATAGAGTCATGCAGTCATTACAGAAGAAGGCCATTTTGCCCATTTAGTCCATGCCATGTCTCCAAACAGCAATGCAGTCAGTCTTCTTCCCCCACCCCCACTCTATCACTGCAAGTTTATTTCTGCAAATGAACATCCAATTTTCTTTTGGGATGATTCATCATCTTTGCTTGCTACTAACCTGCTCAGCATTGGGAAATAGGTCATTACTGTCACTTCATTCTAAAAAAAAAATTGTGCTCCCATCTCTCTTGCTCAAAACCTGGGTACAGCTTTCCTTTGTCTATCTGATCAAAACCTGTCATAATCTTCTGTGCACCTCTGTTTAATCTCCCCAATCTTCTTCAGAAGAAGAACCCTAGCTTCCATCAGAAAATCTTATCTGCACCTGCTCAAAGGCACTCATGTCTTTCTTCAAGTAAACTATTCAGAACTAAACAATTTGAGGTCAATCTTGGATTGTGTGATGACCCAGTTGGGAAAGTGTGTCACCACAAGTGTTAAAGATTTAATTAAGGCACTCAAAGTCCCCGGTGTATATGTCCGATGGATTCGCATTAACCGAGAAAACTGGCCAGGTCTGCACTTAACAAGAACCACAATTACAAATAAATCAGTTCCAATCATGGGCAAACAAAATTATGAAATGCAATGTATAACTCTACCAACTTATACTCTAACACTTTTTTAAACTGGTGCAAATATATACAGACAGACACTGATGAACTGATGTTAGAAGTGGAGAAAAAAAAAATCAGTGAAACACAGTTCAATAGCACCAGTCCACAGAAGCTCTGATCCCTGGGTTTGGGTTTGGTCCTCCAGCCTCGGGAGGAGCTCTCATCCCCAGTGAGCGCTCGGACGCAGTGGGGGGCGCGCACTGATCTCCAATGGGCGTTTGGTCCTCCAGCCTCATGGTGGCGCTCTGAATACTGGTGTGCGTGGGGACAGTTCTCTGGCCTCCGGGTGGGGCTCTGAGACCTCGACTGCAGGCCTGGTCCTCCGGCCTCGGGGTGGCGCT